TATAGTCTTCTAATTAAATAAATTATGCTAAGGAATCAAGCAGTAATGGCCATTTTTTGTTATAAAGATGAAAGATGTTGAGCATGCAATATGAAACAGTGCATAAAACTTCCAATTAATTTTTGTTTTTAAAAATTTATAGGGTGGCAATTTTTTTTGCCAGTGTATAAGTTGTAGCATTTTCAATTTCATTGATTCTTTTGAGTATATTGAAACCTCCTCGTATAATAAAATATATTTAAAACTCCTTATATATATATTTAAAAAATTAAACAGGAATTCTCCCGTGTTTGTTAGTTCGTATCTTTCAAAGTACCCAAAAGTGTTTCGTCGCCGAGTAATAAAACCATTTGAGAGTTGTTTATTTTACTTCGGCAATTTCTTTTCAAGTTTATGCGTCGCAAAAGGATATGTACGTCGTTTCGTGGTGTTTTGTTATGTCAGCGTTTGTATGTATGCGTTCAATTTTAATAGAATTTCTTCACTATCGTTGGAGCCGCGGTGAAAAGCGGTCAACGTTATGTCCGAATTTGACTTCAAATTCGAAATGTTCCTCGTTGTTTGTGTTTTTTTATGAAGACGTTTGTTCGTCTTTTTTTATGAAGAAAATGTGTAGCAGTGTGAAGTTAATGGTTCAGTAAATGTTTGAGTGAGGAATGGAAGAATCGTCGATTCCATCCTCGTTTTGTTTCTCCCTAGTTATCATCCAAGGCTTTTGGCAGTATGGAGATAGATTTGTTCGAGATATGAATATATGGAGAGAGATAGTTGTGTTCATTGCACAGAGAGTAAAGCCCTCAGTTCCAGTTATGGTTTCGGATATTCCAGTGGCGTCTGGTTCCACAAAGTCTAGTGCATTTTGTTAGTGAAAATCCAGGTAACTTTTTGATCAAATTTTAAAATAAAGACAGACAATTTGTTTTGAATTAAATAATTGCTTTCGTTGACATTTAAAATTGTAAATTTTAGGTTTTGAGTTGAGCTGTCAATTCGTGTGTTTAGTTTTCTTTTTTAAATTTAATGTTAACTTGTGACAGTTCGTTTTTTATTATTTTTTTTGACTATTAGGTAGTTTGTTTTATTTTTAAACAAGGTTAACCTCCATATAAATTTTTTAAGATTATGTAGTATCTCCAACTCCTAGAGTTTGTAAGCGGATGACACGTAAGTTTTGTATTTTGTATTTCTCCATTTTGTAACTGTTTGTGGTGACACATAAATAAAGGTTAAATTTTGTTGTCTTAACATTTTATTTATTTTTTTTAGTTAAATTTTTGCCTTATCACGTTACCATTAATTGTGGTGAATATTTTGTGGTCTTTTGTAATTAGCATATATACACATGATATACAGTATGATGCAAATCTATGGAATTAATTCATTATTTCAGAAATAGACGACTTTAAAAAAATCTTAAAACACGTTAATTTTAATTTTTGAATGGCTATCAACTGCTATACATGTGTTGGACATTGCGTCATCAGTGTCGGCGTAATTTTAATACAAACTGAGGTCACGCGACAGCTCCTTATCGCTTTTGCAGCGATATAATCATTTGAATATTTATTCCTACAGGGTTAACCAAAACTGTAGTTTACAACAAATGTTTACTTAAATAAAATTAAATTACAACAAATGTTCAAATTGACGACCTTTAGCAACAATATAATGTGAAAGATGACAATAAATTCTTTCATAACGTTTTCGATGACTTCAGGTGTTATTTGTGCAATTTCGACTTTGATGTGCTCCTTCAACTCTTCTACATCATTCGGTCGATTTTAATACACTCTGCTCTTTAAATACCCCTCCCCCCCCCCAAATCTAACAGTGTCAAATCTGGAGACCTTGGTGGTCATTGTATGTAACCCTGATATCTGTTACATTTTTCCATAACGGTTTTGCAGAATTCGATTATTTTATCAAAGTCACATTCTAATAGCTCCTGGATCAGATGTACTTTGTATGGTTGTCACTTCTCCTTTTAAAGCACTCTTACAACAGTTGATTGGTGGACATTATTATCTAGTGCGACCTACTTAGAAGTGGTATGGGGATTTTCTTGAAATGCCAGTACAACGGCCAGTTTCTTCTCTTCAAATATTGATTTTCTACTACTTCTGTGAAGATCTTTAACATGAACCGTTTCCCTATTTTTTTTTAATTTTGCTTACTGTTGATTGACTTATTAGTTCACGATTGGGGTATTTAGCATTGAGTCTGCTAAACTTCTGTTTAAGTCCTCACTCTATCTCCATAACCAATCATGGTTAAAATCTAGATTCGTTATGTCTCTGTTAGTTTCATATTTGTAAATGCTCTTATTAATGTCGGCAAAAAACTCGAAGAGTAAAAAGTTGACGTCTATTATTTGACAGATTCACAAATCGTTGACAAAGTAAGACGAGTCAATGACAATATTAATTTAAATATTTTTAAAAAATAACTTGGAATACTTACTACAATATTTAATTTCAGATTATAATATAGCATTTTTTGTCATGAATGTATGGTTTTTTCGGAACCATCAAAAAACACTATTTTGTTTTGTTCTCACTGGCGTTCCTGAGTGTATTTTAGTTCAGTGAATGAATATTTATTGTAACTCCTTGTTACTTAACAAAGTTCATAATTTTGGCAAACCCTGTATAAATAAACATTCAAATAATTATATCGTTGCAAAGGCGATAAGGATACCTTTCAAATGAGCCGTCGCGTGACTTTGTCGCGTGACACTGATGACGTAATGTCCAACACATATATCGCACCCTCAGTGCAAGACTGCAGTAAGTCAGAATAAGTAAGTTTTTTTTTTATATTGGCTTTAGGGTAAATACCCACACAGCCAGACACAAATTTTTTAAAAACAGATACAAGGATTACACAGGGATTACACGCTTCTCGCCCAGGGGCGGATAAACGATAAAAGGTAGGCCTCGGACACATAGGTATGCATATATTAAGGAAAGACATAAGGAATTAACAAAGGTGGTTATATTTGCATATTCGTTGTTCTGACGAAAGACAGCAAACAGTCGTAAATTTCTTTTTTATCTAAGGCAAGAAGATGCAGTATATTAAATGAGTTTTCAATGTTTAATTTTAAAAGTTTTCTGAAAAGCTAATTAGATTGAGCTCTATATTTTAAACAATCAAAAAAGATGTGTTCAAAATCACCGATTTTATTACAGGCTTCGCAAAGATCAAATAAGTAAGTTTCGAAATAAAGACGATTTTGTTTATGTTCGTGCTAATATCGGTCAAATAAGACACAAGTTTTTAAAAAAATTAACATTTATTTATGATTTTACATGCTTTGCAGCCTATATTACTTTAACCAAAAATAGAAATTTAAATAAAATAATATTAATACTAAAAAAATAGGAATTTCAAAGTTACAACACTTTTGCACAAAAAAAATTGTTAATCACTACATATTTAGTATTAGAATTTTAAAGTTACACTTTTGCACGGAGAAAATTGTAAAAAGTGTAGACACATTTTCTGTTAGTTGTTGTCCTCTTCTCGTATATCATCTTGGGCCAAAATATTTTTATAAAAACTATGGTGGGCTTCTGGTATCATACCCGAATGGCAATAAATCATCGGGTAAGTAAAGAAAAAATAATCCCCAACAACAATCGGGGTTTAGTATGGTATTAAACTTTACATTTAATAGATTCCAAGAAATCAGATAGGTACCTAATAAAACGGCTTATCGCTAGCGGCAATTTAATCTTTCTATGTCTGCACATGTTTCTGATAGCCACAATTTCTTGGCTTTGTAATGACAATGTCATAATAGGGTAGAAAAATTATTTGTAAAACTTTCAATATTTTTATTTAAATTTAAAACAAAAGGACTAATAAAAATATGCAAATCAGGCTACCTTGAGTACAGTGATTAACAAAAGGATAGAAATTCACTACCTTAGTAAAAGTTACGGGGGGACAATATGATAAGACAATCGCCCCGGAAGGTTACATGAAGATTTAATACAATTTGAGATTTAGTTTTTATAGAACAAGTTTTCTGAGAATAGATATTTTTAACATGTCAGTATTGTTAATACACAAGTTTTAAGATAACTGTTTTTCCTTTCATAAGAAAAAATATTTTTTGGCAGTAAATAATTAGTCTTAATTCATGTGTTTTTAATCCAATTTAATAAATAAATGGCCAAATAACATCGCACACATTTTATGGAAAATATTATGTCACACAAAGGATATAAAACTTACATGAATAAATTGGTAAATCGTAAATCTTTGTTTATTGTTTCGATTGTTAATGGATTACGTAGACACGCTGTATATTAAAATTAAACACCACAGATATAGATAATAAAATAACAAATATCTTACTTTTGTATCTAATATCGTGCCTTTCATTGCTTGTTATCGAAACCATTGCAATGTTCCGTGCAAAACTGTTGTAACTCTGTTACATTAGAGTTACAACAGTTTTGTACGGAACTTATGTACAAAAACGTAAAACTAGTTAAACTGTTGTTGTTGTAATATTTAGCCGGTTAAGCATTTGAAAGTTACTAAAGTTTTACAGGGGATAGATATGCATGTTAACAATCGAATTCCATGATTACTTAATTTTCATAAAATTTTGAGTTACTGCAGTCTTGCACTGAGGGTGCGATATAGCAGTTGATGGCCATCCAAAAATTAAAATTGACGTGTTTTAAGATTTTTTTTAAGTCGTCTCTTTCTGAAATAACGAATTTATTCCATACATTTGCATCATACTGTATACATACATATATTAATAACCCTGTACTACCACAAATTTTCACAGCTTTTCAAAATTAAATTTGGATTTGGTCAGAACATATACGAGAAAGAATTTAGGCATTGTATGTTATATTAAAATATCCAACTTTCAAACTATCTTTGCAGCGATTGGTGCGTCTCTATTAAATTCTAATTTACTTTTCTTTTATAATTTATTGTTAAACTAAATTAACGGTTTTAATTTAAAATAACCTTAAAATTAATACTTTAATGATAATTATTCTATTTTTCAGTCATAATTTAAACTAAAAAATGGTTTTTGAAATTGATGGCAAAGTTGCCCTTGTCACAGGAGGAGCTTCTGGACTAGGATTAAATTTTGCAAAATCATTACTTCTAAGCGGAGCAAAGGTGAATATATTTATATTTATTTTTTTATTTATTGGTTTGAAAAACATTTTTTTTTATTTATTTTTCATTAAACTCATCTTTAGTCATATAAAAAACAATTAAAATCTTATTTTAAATATTGCTTAAGTAATATACCTACAAGTACTGTATGCGCATTTTATTTATTTTATTTATCGTATGGCAATTACAACACATTTAGAACAAAATTACAAACACTAGTAATATAGGTATATGACAAACTTTAAATAATTACAAACAAACATCAAGTGTATTAACATAATCAATTGACTCTGAAGTTGCAAACAGGAAGTCTTCAGGGCTACCGTTATAAGATCTTGAGGCACACTCTTCAATAATGTGGTCGATCGTTTGGTCCTTCCCACAGTCACATTGAGGAGACGGATTCTTTCCCCATTTATGTAGCATGTATGCACATCTGCCATGTCTGGTTCGGATCCTGTTTAGAGTGGACCATGTTTTACGTGGAAGATCAAAACCTGGTGGCTTGTGGGTAATACAGGGCATGTTATTTTGCCATGCATTCCATTCTTGGGACCATGCATTCGTGATGTTGAACTCCTCATGTATCATTCTTGCCGTTTTCATTGGTGGTTTTCTAGAACGTAGACGGGTATTTCGTGCATCCTCGGTATCTTGGTGGATCGGCAGGTTTATATTGTTCATGATCTTTTTGTATTCACGTGTAAGTGCGTCAACTCGTCGTAAATGTGAAGGTGGAATGTGACTTAATACTGGAAGCCATTGGGTGGGAGTTGATTTAATTGTACCAGATATCATCCTCATAGTGCTGTGCAGCTGAGTGTCGACCTTTTTTACGTGTGGACTGTGTAGCCAAACTGGGGCACAATATTCAGCGGTCGAGAAAACAAGGGCTAAAGCAGTAGAGCGGAGAGTGGAAGCCGATGCTCCCCAGGTGGTACCGCAGAGCTTCTGTATAATGTTATTTCTTGTACTCAACTTTTGGGCAGTTTTTGTTAAATGCTCTTTAAATGATAGCGTTCTGTCTAGTGTTACGCCCAGGTACTTCGGTGTTTTGTTGTGGGAAAGTGTGGTATTTTCAAACCGTATGTTGAGTTCCTTTCCAGCAAGTTTATTGTTCAGGTGAAAGCAACTTACTTCTGTTTTGGATGCATTTGGTTGAAGCCGCCACTTGCGAAAATATTTGCTCAATATATATAAGTCTGCCGTCAGAACTTCTTCAGATGTTTCTAGTGTTCGGCATTGTGTAGTGAGGGCCCAGTCATCGGCGTATCCGAACTTTCTTGATTGTGTTTCTGGCATATCTGCTAAATATAAGCTAAATAGTAATGGAGAGAGCACTGACCCCTGTGGTAGGCCATTTTTAAGTTTCTTTGGTGGGCTGATATCTGTGCCCATCACTACTTGAAACATTCGGTCGTTGAGCATGCTATCTATTAAACGTGCTATTTGTTTACAGGGAATTGCACGGAGAATTTTGTATATAAGGCCCTCTCTCCATACTGTATCGTAAGCTGCCGAGAGATCAATAAATGCCGCTGAAGTTTTAAGTCTTCTTTGAAAACCCGCTTCGATGTAGGTGGTGAGTGACATGACCTGGTCCGCGCAGCTTCGTTCTGGTCGAAAACCCGCTTGTTCGACTGGGATCACCTGGAACAGTTCTGTACTGATTCTATTATATATAAGCCTCTCTAATAGTTTGTAGATGGCAGAGAGAAGCGCAATTGGTCTGTAGTTTTTTGGGTTGTCAGCGGGTTTGCCTGGCTTTGGTATGGCTATTATCTTAGAGCGCTTTAGTTCTTGTGGGATATTTCCAGTTTCCATGATGTCTGTGAAAAATCGAGCCAACCAAACTTTTGTATACTTGCCACAATTTAGTAGGAATTCAGGGTGAATATTATCAAATCCTGGTGCTTTTGCTGGCTTAACATCTTTTAGAGCCTCTGATATGTCTTCGCTGGTGAAGGGGAGGGAATGCTCCGTTTCTGTGGCTACATGTTTTAAAGTTTTAAGTTCTCTCTTTACGTAGATAGTGTGTGCTTTATCCTTTGGTGCTCTGGATGTTTTTACTATATGTGATGCTATGGCATCTGGCTTTACGGCTGCCTCTTGGCGTTTCGTACGGACACCACTCCCTAATTTTCTTAGTAATGACCATGCCTGTCTGCTTGATTTCTGGAAGTTTAGACTTTCTACTGTTTCGGTCCACTTTTGTCTTCTAGCGGCGTCTAGGCTGTACAGTAGTTCATCCGCTATATCTTGGTCGCCAGTTTCAAGAAAGCTCTGATATAGTTCCTCGCTATTTTCCGACCAGCCAGGAACATATTCTTTGCGATATCCTCTTGGTATGTGTTTTTTGGCTACACTTAGCACGGCACCAACAAATCTGTGGTAGTTTTTGATATTCGGTGTAATCCACCCTAGACATTTATCTAGATCCACAGAGAAGTCAATCCAGTTGGCCTTTTTAAAATTCCATCTTGGACGTGGGATAGAACTAATTAAAGGGATTTGCGTCCCTACTTCTATTATTACTGGTCGATGTTGGCTGTGTGGGAAATCAGTTAGAACTCGTCGTGAAGCCCCTAAAGGTAAGTCTTTGTTGTCGGTCGAGACGAAGCATAGGTCGGGGTTGTATTCCCGCCTCCATGCCGCAGATCTAAAGGTTGGTCGATCTTTGGCATCAAACAAAAGGTATAGGCGTTCGTCTTCTGCCCATTTTATTAAAGCATTCCCATTTGCATCAATATTTTTGTACTTCCACTGTTCATGATGGCTATTGTAATCTCCAACATATACAGAAGGGTGAGGCTGTACTTTAATTGCTTGGACTGGCCAATAAGTAGCAGGTGGCTTGTAAATGTTGGACACGGTAATGCTAGCGATTTTTGTGACCACATTATAAATACAGTCATCAGTGGAAGTAGAGATTAGCGAAGCATTTTCAATATCTTCTTTGACATATGTAGCTGTGCCATATGTTCGGTGATAAGTTGCGCCCAATAGTTCATATCTCGGAATTTTGTCCCTTTTTTGTAGTTGCTCCTCTGTTTCGCAGTGGGTTTCCTGTATAGCAACTAAGTCAATGTTGTCATCTTTTAATAGTTTTAATAAAAACTGGCTTTTAGCATAGCTTATGCCTTCTATGTTTATGTGGCAAATTCGAACTATAGGTCCGATTGGTCTAGTTGTGCGGTCCTCACAAGGGCAGTTTATTTTGTTTATCATCTTTCGTTGGAAGTGTTGTTTGGTCAGGAGATCCTAAGGATTGTCTGACTGCCAGTATGTGCTAGTTCATTTAGCATTACCTAGGGTGCACGTGTAGTATTCTACTACGGACGCGAACTAGCTCTACACCCCTGTATGCGCAAAACGTTTAGAACTAGATAATATATGTAATTACTACAAGAATTGAAATGGGTGAACCGTAATATACTATACAATAGTATAATGAACCGTAATAATTATATAATACTTGGGTGAACCAAGTAACGGAGAAAACAAGCATTTAAAACCTATTTGAAACCTGAGAAAAAAAGGACAAATGTAGTAAGTTCACTGAGCTTGAGATTATTGTGACAGTCATTGTGAGAAAAAAACACAAAAATTCCTATCACACCTTATCAATGGCTGAAATAAACCAAAGGAATTAATAGACCCTAAAACACATAGAAATGAGACATGGATTAAATATCTAACAAAGCTTTATACAGCGGAAGAGCAAATGACGCTAGAACCGAAAACAACAGAAATTACCACAAATGAAGAAGTTATTATAAATACACAGGAAGTTCGTAAAACATTTGAAAAGGTAAACAAGAGAAAAGCTTCAGGTAAAGACAGAATACCAAACGAATTACTGAATTATTCTGGAGCAGCAATGACAGAACAATTAACAACATTAATTAACAACATTTTAAAACACAATGAAATACCGGAAAAATGGAGAACTAGCAAATTAATTGCATTATTCAAAAAATAAATATAAAAACAACCAAAAAACGATGGTTATGAAGTCGTTAAATACTACCTTATAAGTTACAACTACAATTTTATAAAAATTAAAAAATCAGAGAATAGGATGACAACCGGGTTTTCGTACTAGAATATCATGTACAGATGCAATATTCGAGAAATCCCGAGTGGACAATAGACTAGAATTTTTATGTCCGATTGACTTGAAGAAAATTTGACACCGTAAGACTCAAAGATGTAATCCATCTTTTATATAATAGAAAAGTTCCCCTAGATATCATAAAAACTATTGAAAACATCTACCAAAACAACAAAATAAAAGTCAAAAGTTGGTAGATTGCCAACAGATTAAAAGTCAATGCCGCTGCATATGCCTATAGAGCGTATAGGCATATGCAGAGGCATTAGATAGGAAGATTCATTGAGCCCTATGGCGTTCAATTTAATTATAGATGAACGCATCTATGACTAAATGACAATTGTCAACAAAGTAAAGGGTCCTTTTTCTTATTTAATGAACTAATTTTTAGACCGTTCGACCTGTCCATTGTCTAATGTTACGCAGCCAAGACAATTGTTTTCTTCCGACCCAGCGTTTTCCTTCGATTTTGTCCTAAATATTTAAAGGGAGTAAGCAATATTTAGGTCCCCTCATTATATGACCGAAGTACTGGACCTTTCTCATTTTTATGATGTTGATAAATGTTCGCTTTTTGTGCAAGGTCTTTAGCACACGTTCCTTGGATATGTGTGCTGTACACAGAATTTTGAGCATTCGTCGGTAACACCACAACTCGAACCCTTATAATTTATTAAGATTTTTTATTTTTGTTGTCCAGGTTTTACATCCATAACACAAAGCGGACCAGACGTAGCCCTTCAATATTCTTTGACGTGTGGTCGTTTATAGACTTTTACTACGCAATACAGAACGCCAGTAAATAAAGCTTTTTCGTGGAAGTTCTATTCTGATCGAAATTTCCCTGACACTTTTAACCCAGGAGTTAATCCAACTGCCCAAATAT